GACATGTAACCTTAAGCATCACAATTACTGTTACTGATTTCTAATTTAAATTCACTGTAGTCAGAGAACATGTTCGGTAGGATTTCAATCATTTTGAATTTATTGAGTCTTTCTATGGCTCAGCATGTGGTCTATGCCCTTGAAAGGAACATACATTCTGCTGTCTAAAGGTAGAGTTTTCTATAAGAGTGAATTAGTGAAGATGGTGGATAATTTTGTCCAAATCTAATATATCTATTCTGATTGTTTATTTACAGTTTTTATCAACTCTGCAGAGGACTGCTCAAATCTCCAACTTAATATCCACGATTTTGCTCTATATATTTACAAGCCCTTTTAATAAGTGCTTATATATTTAGAATTATAATGTGTTCATAATAAATTGACTCCTTTATAATGAGGACCTGCCCCTCTTTATCCCTAGTCAAATTTTTTATTCTGAAATCTACTATTAATGCTATTAATTTAGCCATTGCAGCATTCTTTTGATTGGTGTTTATAAGGTAAATCTTCCATCCTTTTTCTTTTGATGTATCTGTGTCATATATTTACAGTAGGTTTCTTGTAGAAATCATATAATTATGTCTTGAATTTTTAATTAAATCTGACAATCTCTGCTTTTCATAAGAGCGTTTATGTCCCTTGTATTCAACATCATTATCATTTACTGGGTTAAAGCCACCATCTTATTTGTTTGCTATTTGTTGCATCTATTTTTCTCTTTTACCTTGAGTATTTTTTAAGTTCTATTTCATCTCTACTATTGGTTGGCTAGCTATATCTTTCTGTTGTAGTTTCTAGCTGGGCTTTAAGGTTTATAGTATCAGCATGTAAAGTATTACAAAATTCAAATATTGTATCATTTCTACAACATTCAGGAACTTTACAAAAACATACTTAACTTTTCCCCTCACATTCTTTGTACTATAGTTGTCATACATTTTAATTCTATATAAATTATAGATCACATAACACAGTGTTATTTTTGCTTTAACCAGATAAGCATCTGTTACAGAGACTGAAAATGGGGAGAAAAGCCTCTTAAATTTGTCCACATAATTAACATTTCTGGTGGTCTTAATTTCTTTGGGTAAATATCAATTTCTTCCTGATATATAACTAGTCCCTGACTGATAAGGGTCCTATTCTAACAACTCCTGTATAAGTTGGTTCTGATGTAAACTGAGTGCCTCATTGTTTTGGTTACCTAGTGCTGCTCTGACAGGAATATACCACATATGGGATGGCTTTAACAAACAGGAGTTGATTCTCTTACAGTTTTGGAGGCTAGAAGTCCAAGTTCAATGTGGCAAGCTCTAGGGGATGGGTGAAAGCCCCTCGACCTTGGGCTTCAGCTCTGCCTCTTGCTCCTGGCCCACTGGAGCTGGAGGTGTCTCTTCACTCAGGCTGCTGAGGTGGACAAATCCAAGGACAAGAAGTAAAAAAGGACAGTCCCGATATTACCAAACAACACAGCAGGCCATTGATTCAAGTCCATTGAGAGTCCCAAGATGGGCAGACAACATGGCAGGCTGCTGAACAATAATTCGGCTCCATGCTGGATTCAAGCGTGCCGAAAGCTACAGAGCATTCCCAAAGTTTCTTCTAATACACAGGAAGTAGACCACATCTCTAAGGCAGCTACTCAGCTGCTTGTGGCAGATTCCACCATGAAGCTGACTGCCAGTCCATCATGGGGAATAACTACCACCAGCTGCCCAGCCTTGTAGCAAAGTGCCTAAGGCACTTGACCGCTAACCAGAAGGCTGGAGGTTCAAACCCACCAGCCATTCCCTGGAAGGAAGGCTAGGCAATCTCATCCTTAGTGATACCACTGTGGAAACCCAAGGAGGGGTCACTATGAGTTGGGTCCAACTTGACGGGACACAACAACAACAACAACAGCTGCCCAGCCACTCAAAACCATTCCCAGCCAAGTTGACATATGACTTTTACCATACTCATTTTTTTTTAGTTTTCATTATTCTTGCCTCCTACTATCAGTATTTTTATAAATCCAATCTTTGAACTGTCAGTGAACACCCGAGAATGAGAATATCAGCAAATTATGCGCTACAACACTGTATGTAGTATATACAAACAACACCCAGAGGGTCATAAGTGTGGCTTCTCAAAACCTGAATACATTACTAGTTGGAGACTACCTGTATGTTTTGTTTTGCTTGAAGGACTTCTTTGAACATTTTAGGCACTGGAGGTCTTCTGGAGATGAATTCTCGTAGTTTTCCTGGTTTGAATTGGTTTTCATTTGTCCTTAATATCAGCAAGATATCTGTGCTGGATACAGAATTCTGAGACAATTATGTGTTTGTCTGTTTTCTTTCAGAACATTAAAGATGTCATTCCACTGTCTTCCGGACGCTATGATTTCCAATGAGAAGTCTATTTTCCTTCTTACCTTTGTCTTCTGTATCTAGTATTTCTTTCTTCTCAGACTTGTCAGCAATTTGATTATAAAGAGCATGTGTGTCTATTTCTCTTTTAGGTTTATTCTTCTTAGACCTTGTTGAGATCCTTAGTACTGTGGGTTTACAGTTTTCATCAAAAATCTAACATTTTCAACTGTATCTTTTTCTCCCTCATCTTTCTTTTGAAATGCTAAGGATGTGAATATTATAATGCTTGGCATTTTCCCAGAGCAAAATGAGGTTCTTTTCATTTTTCTCTCTTTCTGTGCTTCTCTATTGATACGTATTCATATTTAATGGGCATTTTTCTGAAGTTTCATATCTACTTTTAAGATGATCTAGAAAAATTTTCATCTCACGTATTGTATTTTTTATATCACAAGGTTCCATTTGGTTATTTTCTACATCTTTCATTTCTCTTCTCATTATGTTCATGGTTTCCTTTATATCGTTGGCCATGTTTATCACATTTACAACAGCTGCTTGAAGCTTCTTTTCTACTCATTTCATCATCTTTATAATTTCTGGGTCTGTTCTTATGTTGGTTACCTGATTATGGATCTTATTCTCCTGTTTCTTTGCACACTTAGTTTTATCAGATGCTGAACATTAAATACGGCATGGCTGTGTTCTGCTATGCAGATAACTTGCAAATAAGGTGCATCTTTTGGAGGCTTGCTTTTAAGTTTTCTTATGAAGGCTCTAAAGTTGTTTTGTTATGGGACTAATTTATCTTTATTATTAAAAGTGTGTCCCATAGAAGGAATTTACCTAATGTCCTGTGTAATAGGAAGTCTTCCCACTCTAGCTAGTGGGAATACAATCTTGAACCCTTGAAAGAGCTCCAAGAACTTCTCAGCCTGCTACTTCCTGGTGGTTCTTGCCTCAGCTTTGAACTGATGTTTCTCATGCATGCACGGATCAGCCCTCAGCCAAAGGCTCAGGGGAGCCCTCTGCAGATCTCCGGAGCGTCTATGCCTTTCTCTACCCCAGCCCTCCTTCAAGTCAGTCACTGGCACTGCCAGTAACTATTGGAAAGGTCCCCGGCCTCAGTGATTTGCTATCCATAAAATGCACATGTAACAGGATGAAACGGAGTAAGTCAATAGATATTAATAATTTTATCCTAAATTGGTCGATAATTTTTTTCCCACTATAGCCCAATTTAAGGAGTTCTGGTGCTGTCATGGTTAAGGCATTTGGCTGCTAACCAGAAGGTTGGTGGTTCCAACCCATCAGCTGCTCTACTTAAGAAACAGGAAGCAGTCTGCTTCTGTAAAGATTTACAGCCTTGGAAACCCAGTGGGGGCTGCTATGAGTCAGAATCTACTTGATGGCAGTGAGTTTGGTTTTGGTTTTGGATAGCTCCATATGCTGCTAGTAAAACAACAACAACAATAGTGTCTGTGCTTCCCTTAACATATATATAAAAAATAATATTGTATTGATTAATATCTATAGCATATGCATTCATAGTGATTCTTCTAACACAGACAAGAGACTATGCCATCTCTGCTCCAGTCTACTATGAAACTTTGAAGAAAGTTGGTCAGTACTGTCATCTGTGACCAAAAACCTGGTAGAAGATGCTCTATAGATGACTGGAGCCTCTTTGATGCAGGACTCTAACCAAATCAGTCTAGCACTGGCATCTATACACACTGTGCATTTTCAAAGCACCAGGCATTTTCATATTATTGGATACTCTATGACTTCTGTCCCATGACTTCGACCTGTGTTTTCAGTTTCAGAATTTAAGCTTCTGGAACACAGAGTTGTAGGTGTTAGGGCACAGCGCATACAGAACGCGTCATAACTGTGGTGATACAGTGCAGGAGAGGGCTTGCATTACAGTCTTTGAGGACCTAACTCTGATTCCCTGATTTCCAACCCTTAAAGTAGAATGGTAACAAATCTAAAGTAAAATGAAACAAAAATGCAAATACGGCTAATAAGCCATGTAGCCTTACAAGCCTTAATTTATACCCAGTTTTTGAATTCAAAATATTTTACCTAAGAGCATGAAACTCCGTATGTTTATTTCTTAACTCCATTACAATGGAAAATAGTATTTACTCTTGGACTTGGGATCAACAGTCAATATAGCATAGACTTAGACTGTAAAGGGTAATATACTTTCAGAAGGACCCATTTTCTGCCAGGAAATTTAAAAGGACACCAAAACACATTATAAGCTCTCACATATATAGGAATAGATACATCAGAATTATATTTATTAAACAGAGTGAGTTTAGGTAAAGCTCAGCAATTTTCACTTGCTTGAAAAGCATGTAAACATTGCACAGACATACAGTGAAGAGGGTTCAGATATATTGTCAAAACACATAGAGCACGTTGCATGTAGTTACCCTAGAATGAACGGCTGTGATTTGAAACACAAGTGGAAAGTTTGACTCCTGTATGATTTGTTGCAACAACAAAGACCTTGAAGATGCATGTGTGCTGCCTGCTATGTACAGAGATGACTGACTTATACACTTTCCAGATATAAACAGCCAAGGAACATCACTGAAGTTGTACACATTTCAGATAGAGGTGCAGGGTGCTTACCACATTGTACAAGCTGATGCACCAACGATCAAAGATAATCTGCCCGGAAAATCCATTAAAAAAGGCGAACCAAAGCTGAAAGAGAACAAAGCTTTGCATCAATGTTGACCTAAATATATGCACAGACTGAAAAGAAGAGACATAGGACATGGAACCTTCGGCTGCTACAGAGTAATTACTGAGAAAGCCACATAGCTGTTCTTTCAGAAATTGTAAGTTACAAATGCTACACATTACTGATACTAAAAATTACTGATGCACTTCTGTAATTAATAGATGAGGCAATCTACTTCCATAAAGATTTACCACCTTGGTAATCCAATGGGGGTTGCTATGAGTTGGAATCAACTTGATGGCAGTGTTTTTTTTTCCCCCTGTAATTAATAGCATATGTTCCCACACTGAAATATGCCCAAAATGCATAATACATGTAAGAATTCTCAGCAAAATATTATCAAATCAAATCCATAAATGTATATAAAAAGAATTATCCATCACAGCCAAGTGGGTTCATTCCAGGGATGTAAAGCTGGTTCCATATTTGAAAATCAATGTAACCTATAACAACAAGCTAAAAAAGCAACAACAACAAAAAATCATATATGATCCTATCATTTGACAGTGAAAAAGCATTTGATAACATCCAACAACAATTCACGATTAAAAGCTCTCAGTAAACTAGGAACAGAGGAGAATTTCTTCAATCTGACAAAGAACATTTACAAAAGGGATGATACAAAACATCATATTTAATGGTGAAAGATTTTTAAGACTCTTATTAAACATAGTACAAAAAGTTCTAACCAGCACAAAAAGACAAGAACAAGAAATAAAAGACATAGACATTGGAAGGAAAAAGCAAAACTTATTTGCAGATGGCATGACTGTCTACATAGATCTATAATAAAAACTCCTAGAACTACTACGTGAGTTCAGCAAATTTGTAGGATACAAAATCAACATGCACAAAATGACAATAAGATACCACTTCACCCCCCATTAGAATGGCAATGAGAAAACAAACAAAAAGGAAAACAATTGCTGGCCAAGCTGTGGAGAAACTGGAACCTTCATCCATTGCTGGTAAGAATGTAAAATGGCATAGCCACTGTGGAAAACAATTTTACAGTTCCTCAGAAAGTTGAACATAGAATTACTATGTTATTGTTGTTGTTATGTGCCATTGAGTTGGACCTGACTCATAGTGATCCCTCCCCTTTGGTTTCCGAGGCAGTATCACTAGGGAAGTAGATTGCCCCATCTTCCTTCTGAGGAGTGGCTGGTGGGTTTGAACCACCAGTCTTCTTTCTGGTTAGCAGTCAAGTGCCTTAGGGACTATGCTACCAGAGCTCCTTGCAATTCCAATCCTAGGTAGATACACAAAAGAAGTGTAGGCAGTTACGAAAACAAAAAACTGTACATCCATGTTCATTATACACTTTTCACAGTAGCCAAAAGGTGGAAACAACCAAAATGTCCATCTAAAGATGACTAGATAAACAAAATATGGTACATACATGTAACAGAATATTACTCATTCATAAACGGAGTCTGGTAGCGCAGTGCCTAATGCATTTGACTGCTAACCAGAAGGCTGGTGGTTCAAACCCACCAGCCACTCCTCAGAAGGAAGATGGGGCAATCTACTTCTGGAGTGATACTGCCTCGGAAACCCAAGGAGGGGTTGCTATGAGTCAGGTCCGACTCGATGGCACATAACAACAACAACAACATAAAGAAAAATGAAGTCCTGATGCATGCCATTGCATGGATGAACCTTGAGAACATGCAGAGTAAACTAAGTCAATCACAAATTAACAAATACCATATGATCTCAATTATATGAGGTAAACAAATATATAGAAATCAAAGATTATTCATGGTTATTGGGGTGGGAAGGAGGAGGAAAGGGAATTTTTGCACAAAGGGTATTGGGTTCATGTGAATGGTGGTAGAATGTTATGGAAAAGTGATAATGGTGGCATAACATGAAAAATGTAATGAGTGTCTTTGATGTGGAAGTCTGTGTGTGTTGGCAGATGTTTTGGTGTGTAACTTTTCACCAAAAAAAAAAAAAATCAATATACAAAAATCATACATTGCCATGTATGAACAATGAACGTAAAGACAATGAAATTAACACAATACTATTTACAATCACTCCAAGGAACATGAACTACTTAGGTATAAATCTAAAACAGCATGTATAGGATCCATATGCTGAAAATGAAAAAATGTTGATGAAAGAAATCAGAGATGACTTAAATAAATGAAGAGTTATACCATGTTCATGGAATGAAAGAATCAACATAGTAAAGATGCCAATTCTCCCCAAATTATTCTCTAGATTCAATATTCATTTCTATATAAACCCCAGGAGGTGTTTTGCAGACATAGATACAGTTGTTCTAAAATTTATATGTAAAGGCAAAGGACCAAGGAGACTTCTGGCAAGATGGTGGAATAGGTAGACACACTACGCAGACCTTCTGTAACAAAGAAATGAGAAAACCACTGAAATAGATAGTCCTGGAGCCCTGAGCTTTGAAGGAGAAAGAAATGGAGTAAATGCCAACTAGTAGAAGAAACTGAAAACAGTGAATAAGGAAACAAATGGAGCTGTGGACTGTTGAGTGGTCTAATGGTATGGCCATTTTGAATATCTGCAAGCCACCAGCCACTCCTCAGAAGGAAGACTGGGCAATCTACTTCTGTAGTGATACTGCCTTGGAAAACCCAAGTAGGGGTTGCTATGAGTCAGATCCGACTCAATGGCAATGAGTTTGGTCATTTGGTTTTTGGTTCCAATCAGGGCATCAACCTGACAATCAACTCCACTTGCCTAGGACTGCATGGGCAACCACACTGGTAGATGCAACCAGAAAGGTGTGGTATTCCCTTTTTTCCCCTTGTACCCCACTCCTCAGAAGGAAGGTTGGGCAATCTACTTCCATAGTGATACTGCCTCGAAAACCCAAGGAGGGGTCGCTATGAGTCAGGTCTGACTCCATGGCAAACAACAACAACAACCCCACACCTTTCCAGTGAATTGAGGTGTGGCCTCCCCCACCCCTAGCCACCTGGACCAGCAGGAATTCCATCCTGTACTGGGTGCCCTGCCACCAGGTGCTTTCTGGGCAGGCATGAACTGGTTCTGGAAATTGGCACCCTGCTCCCAACTACCTTTTGGGCCAATAAGAACTTTTTCTACACTCAGCTGTCTTTTGAAGATGGCAGAACTTCTTCTGGGAACAGGGACCCTGTGCCCAGCTCCTTTTTGGGTTAGCAAGAACTCCCTCGGAAACCAGATGCCTTGCTCCCAGTTGCCTTTTGAATTAGTAGGTCCTTTTTCTGAGTCCAGATGCCCTTCACCCAGACACCTTTTGGGCCAGTAGGAACTCTATCTGGGATCAGGCATCCTGTCCCTGTCCCAGTTGCTTTCTGGGTAGATAGGAACTAGTTGTGGGACAAGCCACCCTGCTCCCAACCACCTTTTCAGTTGGCAGGAACTTTGTCTGGGACAAGGCACCCTATAATTAGCCACATTTTGGGATGCTAGGAACTTTTTCTGGGAACAGGGGCCCTCTGCCCTGCTGCCTTTTGGGACAGCAGGAACTTTTTCTGGAACCAGACACCCTGTCCCCAGCTGCATTTTGGGGTAGCAGAAACTACTTCAGGAACCAGGTGCCTTACTCCCAGCCACTGTTTGGGCCGGCAGGAACTTCTCTGGGTCCAGGCACCCTGCCCCCAGACGTACTGTGGGCCAGCAGGAATTTATCTGGGATCAGGCGCTCTTCCAACAGTTGCCTTCTGAGTAGGCAAAAACTACTTCCAGGACCAGCCACCCTGCTGCCAGCCACCTTTTAGGCCAGCAGAAACTTTCTATGGTACCAGGTACCCTGTACCCAGCCACCTTTTGTGATGGTAGGAACTTCTGGGAACAAGGGCCTTGTGACAAGCTTCCTTTTGGGACAGCAAAAATTTTTTCTGGGACTAGATGCCCTGCCCCAAGCTGCTTCTTGGGCCAAGAGGAATTCCTTCTGGAATAAGTACATTGCTCCTAGTTGCCTTATGGGCCACTAAGAATTTCTTTTGGGATCAGGTACCCTACATCCAGCCACCTTTTGGGATGGCAGAAATGTTTTTTGGGACCAGGTGACATAGCCACAGTCACCCTGTAAGATGACAAGAATTTCTTCTGGGACTAGGCACCCTACACCCACTCACATTTTGGAACAGAAGGAACCATCCTGGGACCAGGTGCCCTGACCCCGGCTGTCCTTTGGGTCAGCAAGAACCCCTTTTGGAACCAGGTACCATACTTCCTGCCACTAGCTTCACCAGCAGAAATATCATCCAGGTGTTCTAGCCCCCTCCCCTAGTATTTTTTATTTCAATTATTCTTTTGGTCTTCTATTTTCATAGTTTTTTTTTTTTTTTTTCCTTTCCCTGGTTCTTGTTTTCTATTTCCTTGTTCTCCCCCCCCCCAATCCTTTGTTTTCTTTTTCTATTTTTCTTATTTTTCTCACTATTCTTTTATCTTGCTCTTTCATTTTTACCCCTCCTTTTTGTCCTTTCTCTCCCTGTCCTCTTATCCTTTTTTCTTCTCATTTATTTATTTTTTCTTTTTGTGGTGGTGGTGGTGGATGTTTGTTTATGCTATTTGTATCTTTTGTTCCCGCTTTCATTTCTGGTGTGTTGTTATTTTCTGTTCTTTCTTTTTTTATTGTCCCACCTGGCAGAAGACAGCAATGATGCCCACATGACCCAACCACATCTGTACCTCCTGAAGCTCCACCCATTATGCAAGCATGACCATCTGCTTCTGCATCAACTGATCAATGACAGACAGTAGCCAGTACCAGTTCAACCTTCCCTCAATTGCTTTACTGGAAAAGCTAACAGAGATCAAAGCATAAATTTTCATCTTCTGTCACACTCACTAAGAGACAAGTCATGAGTGCCTAAGTGCTGCAAAACTAATGAACAGAGCAGCACATAAGGCCTGCTTGCTCAGATATATAAATAATAATAATAACCTGGATCAATCACACAAACATACAATCATCAATTAA